GCTTCCAATATAACCCCTCTGCCAACGCAGCTTAGTCCTAACCAACAGCCCCCCGTTTAGTCACAACACTGGTCCTCTCCAGACATTGCCAGCCATGCCCAACAGTGCAGTATTGTTGTGATGTGCAAAGACAGACAAGGACGAAGCCAAACATTTTCAGAATTTCAGTTAAGGTATTTAGAGTTTAAAAGCCAGTAACCAACCTATTAAGTCATCTTTATTTCAACCATGTTAAATGATAATTTAATGAATCCTATACTGCAGGATATTAGAGACCCTGGCACACATCGGTGGCTTAACCCATCTCCTGTCCTTTGCCTATCCATTACTCAAAAAATTCTGAAGAAACTGACTTGAGGGGCTGCCAACAGTTTACTGGTAGGCAGGCCATAATTCAGATGATGGTGAAGTAGTAACACTGGCTGCCTTACCTGTACTAAGTTCCCATTATATCTAGATCACTTCTGTAGCATTTAGTTCAGGCCTGTTAAGAACGTTTGTAGAAAGCAGCCCAGATGTTGTTTTTAAAATGGGACAGACAGCAGCTCAGAGAACATGAACAAAAGCAAGCAAACATGTAGCCTGGGAGATACCCTACTTGTCACAAAACTGAATAGTCTCAGAAGAGATTTCACATGAAAACTTCCAATGGTTTGACAACAGCAATGCCAAAACAAGTACTAGCTGTTCACTCTCTGATTGCCTTCAACCATTCCTAGCACCTCTGCAAGTACCAGAGAGGTGTCAAAGCACTGCCCAAGACTTACTGGACTTTGATTGCTTGTGATTTATTGTGTCTTGAAGAAAACTGTTAGCTTCCCAGCACCACTGTGCCTGCCTTATCCGAGAGCCATAGCTGGTGATTAAGGTTCAGCTGTAGGTTTTGCTTTCTTCTTTCTCCCCACACCCCACCCCTCCCGTGGTAAGAAAGAATTGATTTTAACAGGTTGTGAGAATACACAGTATAGTGAATCCAGGAAGGCCAGTGGCCTCTCCTGCCCTATTGTACATAGCCACCATACCAAGCGTAATGAATGCACACAACAGTATACACATTGCTTGAGGGAAGTTTCTTGAGATAGGAGTACATCACTGAAATAACTGCACATGGCAGAAACCCCCAGGAAGGCTTGATCCACTCAGGAAAAGTTTATAGTTGAAATATTCCCAGCCGGCGGGACCCCAACCCTGGGCGCCTGGCACCAGCCCGCTGGAGTGATCTCGGTTAACGATATGATTTTAATTATTTAACCAGTTAACCTTTTAAACCGATATTTACATCCCTACTATACACTGTGGCTAGCTGAATGGCAGTGGGTTTTAATCATCCCCAAGTGGCATCCTTTTTGACAATAGCAGGGATTTGGTCCTGCTTCGAGCAGGGGGTTGGACTAGATGACCTTCTGGGGTCCCTTCCAACCCTTATATTCTATGATTCTATGAATAGTAGCCACATGCTAGAAGTATCCCAGGTAACAAGGTATATTGAATTTAGATGTCTGGATGACACAAGAACAGGCTTAAAGAATATGCAAGAGACATCCAGTGGCCCCCAATGCCTAATAACTAAGGATACAATTTCATCACAGAGGTCATGTGACTTTAACGGACCTCTGAGACTTTTTAGGCTTCAGCCCCCACCGCCTGCAGCAGTAGGACTGGAGAAGCTGTCAGCTGCTGCCCCCTGTTCCAGCGGCGAGGCTTGGACTGTCAGTTCTCCCTACCCCCAGGGACAGGTAGCAGGCTTCCATGAAATTTGGTTTATTGCCCACAATTTGCCTATGACTTTTACTAAAAATAACTGTGACAAAATCTTAACCTTACTAATAACCAAGCACAGGAATTCTAAAAACACCTTTCTACATAAGCACCAGTTTTTGCCATCCACTTAGAGACCAAGAAGTTGAATTTTAAGCAGTAGAATTTTGGAACCTTTGCTGGAGCGGCTTGATAAAATACTCCCATAAAAATAATACCAATACAAAACAATCTCCGTGGGATCTAAATGCAGGAACACACATTCTAAAATTCAGAGAATAATCTCATAAAACACTTTCACTGGCTTTGGGGAAGGGACAACATATAAATATTTTAAGCGTTTTTGCTACTTTGTGATACAGTCCAATTTTAAAAAATAATACATAGCCAGATACAAAAATACAGAGCTTTGGATGGAGGGAGTCACCAGTATTAGGAAGGGGAGAAATTTAAATAAATCAATATTAATAGTACAAAAGAAAAGACAACAAGGAGCTGGTGGGATGACCTAGCACTATGCACACAACACATTTAGGGATACCAGCATTAGAGTCCCGCTCCTCAGACTTACAGGGGAATGGAGAAATTCAGCCGAGGTCAGCTAAGTAAGAGTATTGATGGACTCAAGGGAACCCCAACAATTGTTCCTCATTAACAGAGATGGTGGCCGCAAAATGAGGGCATGCCATTTTAAGGTACAGAGAAGGGAGAAAACAGAATCAGATTCTCAAACATAAAAGCCACAGAGGCAGAGGTGGAGGTAACAAAGCAAAGACTTCCAGTCTTCAGTAGCTGAGAGAATTCAGCAGTCAAAGTGGTATATTACTCCTGAGGGCATTCTGTGCCAAATAAATTAAAATTCTGCGCACAATATTTTAAAATTCTGCAAAATTCTACAAATTTTATTTGTCAAATAAATGTAGAGGCTCCAGCCTGACATTGGGGAGCACAGGCCACTGGTGGCACAGAGGTGGGAGATCACTGTGCAGCTCCCCCTCTGGGACACGGACTAAGCAGTGAGGCTGTACCCAACCCTGACACAGCACAAGGACCGGGCCTGCCCCAGAGACAACCCAAAGACCTGCCCCTCTGTGCCAGTGCACCAGGTGTGGGCAGACAGGCTCAGCAAGGCAGGATCCAAGAGTGGAGGGGCTTAGTGTGAGGGAATCCAGGTGTGGGTTGAGAGGGTTCTGTGTGGGGCAATCTGGGTTTGGGTGGCTCAGATTCAGGTGCGGGGGGATCCGGATACAACTGTAATGGGACTCTGCAGGGTGGTCCAGGGGAAGGTCGTTGTGGCTCAGCAGGGGGGTCTGAGTGTGGGTGGGGATAGACCTCAGCGGGGGGTCTCGGTGTGGGGGGTCCAGATGCTGGGGGAGTGGGGCTCAGTGGGGTTGGGATCCAGGTGCAGCTGCTTGGGGCTTGGTAGATGGGGATCTAGCTGTGGGTGGCTCGTTGGGGTGGTCCAGGTGCAGGGGGAGTGGAGCTCGTCAGTGGGGTTCTGGGTGTGCAGGGTAGAGGGTGAGGCTCGATGGGAGGGTCTGGGTATGAGGAGGTTTGGATGCAGCTCCCTGTACAACAATCCCTCCCCCTGCAGCGGAGGAGCAATGGGTGCAGGAAGTGCGGGGGGGTTGGGGGTGGGGGGAGTAAGGTACTGTTCAACATAAGGGCATAAGAATTTGGGCCATTGTAATCTGCCATACAGCATGCAGTTAATGCAGGGGTGGCCAGCCTGTGGCTCCGGAGCTGCATGCAGCTCTTCAGAGATTAATATGTGGCTCCTTACCTAGCCACTGATTCTGGGGCTGGAGTTATAGATGCCAACTTTCCAATGTGCTGGGGGGGTGCTCACTGCTCAACCCCCTGCTCTGCCCCAAGGCCCCTGCCCCTTCCCCTGAGCCTGCCATGCCCTTTGCTCCTTCCCCCGCCCCACGAGCCTCCTGCGCATGTGAAACAGCTGATTGCAGGGGGACAGGGGAGTAGGCGCTGATTGTTGGGGGCTGCTGGGAGGCAGGAGGCGCTGGGGGCTGGGGAGTGGATGGGGGGCTGCTGACATGTTACTGTGGCTCTTTGGCAATGTACATTGGTAAATTCTGGGTCCTTCTCAGGCTCAGGTTGGCCACCCCTGAGTTAATGCATCACCATTGTTCTGCAATACTTATCTATCAAAGGAATTTTTATATTTAAAGAAAGACCAAGATATTAGATTTCAAGGATGTCCAATTGGAGCATGATGCAATGGGAGAAAATATTACATTCTAAAATATATGAAGGGAAGGCTGAAAAATTATAAAACACCATAATTAAGACAAAAGATACAACTTCTTTGTGTGTCTGGGGGAGCGGGGAAATCAATGAGAGGAACAATATGGCTTCACGAGGGAATGCTTGAAGGTCTGATGAACCTGCCTTTGGAACAGTGTGTTCAATTCTGGACACTGCTTCAGGCAGATATTAAATTGAAGGGAATTCAATACTGAGCAACAGAATGATCAGGGGGCTGGAAAAAGACTTATAAGAAAAGATTAAAGGAACTTGACTAGGAGAAAAGCAAAATCTGTAAATACAAAGGCAAGGGAAGGACAATGGAAGAGTGGTATAGAAGAATTGCTCTGAGCAACGAGGTGAAATGAGGACAGCTTGAGTTTAAATCAGGAAAGATACCCTGACCGTAAGATCTGTTCAGCTGGGGAATCATCTCCCAAATGAAGTGAAGGCAGCTCCTTTCGCTTGGGACATTTAACACGGGCCTGGACAAAGCATTAGAAATTAAACAAAAGGGAACAATCTTGCACTGTCCAGTGAGCAGATAACTCTCTTATATCACTAATTATAGTCACCAGTTCAGAAATTACAAGTATTCATGACCTCATTTTCTTTATATCCCATTAAAAATAACCTGTGTTATGCAAGTAACTCCCTTTGCCAGTTTATCTTCTGAAACAAGGTGCGTCTTATTTAGACAATATTTATGCTTTCCAGTCATCAGCACCTCTACTCAGCTCCACCTGGAGAGCGATACATTAATTCATTCTCATGTTTAAGCAACATGTGTATTTCACTGAACAGCAGATGAGAATTCAACCCTAGGCTCAGATGTACCCCCACAACAAACCTTACTTACAGATAACAAGACTGAAGAAATAAATCTTCATATGGAACATTACTCTTTTCTTTATAAGGGAGACAACTAAGCTATGGCTCTTGGAAGCGGGCAGGAGAGAGAAGAGTGCCAATTTTCTTACCTGTGGGAATTTGCGTTTGATAGATGTCAGTGCTCCCTCTGGTAGCTTGGCCAGTTCAGAATCTCGGACTGCATGTACTGTTGTGGCTCTAGGCTGATGGGTTAATGCCTCCACCTGCCAGAGGAGAGAGAAAAAATACAGCTAAGACTTCAAAGGTAAATCTTAGACCTAGCACTGCCCAAATAAAAATGCAACAAAGCAGAACAGAACTACCTAGGGAGGTGATGGAATCCCCTTCCTCAGAAGTTTTTAAGGTCAGGCTTGACAAAGCCCTGGCTGGGATGATTTAGTTGGGATTGGTCCTGCTCTGGGCAGGGGGTTGGACTAAATGGCCACCAGAGGTCCCTTCCAACTCTGTTATTCTATGATTCACCTGATCACTGGAATCAGCTTTACCCATCTCTAGTCTTTTTTCCCCCCTAATTTTTTGATAACGTGTTGTAATGATGGTGCCCGTGGGAGCCAGCTGAGGTCACTCAATTAGGGCGAACTGCAAACAAAATGGGGCAGACAAACCCCAAACGCAGTGGATGTTCCAATATTTAGATTTACCAAGCCAGCCCAAAACAGCTTCTGTATTATCTCTGTTGCATCCGATGAAGTGAGCTGTAGCTCACGAAAGCTTATGCTCAAATACATTTGTTAGTCTCTACGACGCCACAAGTCCTCCTTTTCTTTTTGCATACATAGACTAACAGGGCCGCTGCTCTGAAACCTGTATTATCTCACTGGTTACTCAGACGTCCAAACAATGCAGTTTCCTTAAAGTACCCAGCCTCAGGCCTCCATCCAGACACACATGTCAAACATATGATGATAAATTCTGAAAATCTTATTTCATGTATAAAAGAAAAGGTTCTCTCAATCCCAAAGGATCAGCCACAAACCCAGGTCAAATGCTAACTTAGATCTTACCCAAAATACATGCTTATAGCCAATTCTTATTAACTAAAATTTATTAAAAAAGAAAAGAGAGAGAGACTTGGTTGAAAGATCAATATACATACAGACTTGAGTTTAATTTCTTGAGGTCCAGATGCATAGCAGAGATGGTGAGTTTGTAGTTGCCAAAACTTCTTTTAGAAATAGTCCCTAGGTTATAGTCCAATGTCCATATTCAGGGTGAGTCAAGTCAGTGACTGGGGTTCTCAATTCTTATGGCTTAGGGTTTCCCCTTCTTGAAACCCAAAGCAGATCTGAGGTGAAGAAGGATCGTGTCCCAGGGGTTTTATACATTTCCAGCAGCCTTTTGGCCTGAGAAATCCATAGGCTTAACTTTCCTTCTCCCAAACATCATGGCAATTAGCACAGGGTAATTTATCCATTAAACAGTTCAGATACCGGTTACCACAGCCTTCAAAGAGACATATAGACAATAATACTATTTCATTCAAGTGTCTTCCTAAATGTTAATACTCCTTTTTTGATCTTTGAATCAAAGCCATAGTAATAGACAAGACTTGTTTGCTTCCACCACAAGACCTGAGCCAACATCTACCCTTCTATCTCTAACAATGCAGGCATGCATTTCAAAGCTCTATTCATTTACATATCTTCTTAACAAGTCTTTAAAGTTCAGCCATGGGTCATGTCAGTCTGTGAGTTAAATAACTCTTTCTGGCCCTATGTCACCTTTCAATGAGATATTATATTACACTCATAATGTCACACATGGACATAAGTAGAACAAGCTGCCCAGTGCTAGTGAGTGGTCTTGTGTTGATACCTTACTTACTGTACCCACATCCAGCTGCAGGAAAACCATTCAGTTAATCAGAGTCTTTGACAAATGAGCATTTCCTCATCTAGGTAGTTTGCTGTTCTTCATGGAACTGAACTCGACAGTAGCTGGAAGTTAGGCTGAAAATGTTACAGGAGAAAAATTCCCTTTGAACTTCGACAAGTACCCACACACTGCACATATATAAGAACAGTGTGAAAAAGGAAGAGAGTTTGGTAATTACACTTTTTTCATCAGTGCAAAAGCTTATAAGTAGATGAGTGATCATATTATCAGTCAGAGAAGATGAATAAGTAGGAATTTTCTGTAATATTTGTATTAATCCTATGTATGACTCAGTTTCCCCATGTACTTTACATTGTTACCCAATGAGGGCTAAAGGGTTAAGTCTGCACTTGGGGCAGTGCAGGAGACATGAGATTGGTGCATTGCCTAGCAGTCTGGGGCTACATAATGGGTCATTAAAAGACTGGCCAAAGCTGACCCACATCAGTGGAAGATCCAGAGAGACAATGAAAACTCCTAATGACTGAACAATCAACACTTCACAGTGGGAAGCTCCTGTGGGGAGGGGGTGTGTGTGTGTGTGTAGTGTGAACTCAGTGTGGCTACATGAAGACAAAGAACAGACAGGACAGGGGATAAGAGTTGGTTTTTGGAAAAGGCTTGGCTGCCCTTACCTGGGACTGAAAGTGGCAGAGAGACAGAGCCTGAAATGGAGTCAAGAGCAGCTTGGCTAGGCCAGATGGACTAGGTCTTAACCCTCTCTCTGCTACCCTAAGCACTTCCAATACTTTGTTCTGGGTGACTAAAATCCTATTCTGTTTTGAAAAGGCTGCTTGGTGTCTGTGCAAATCCCTGCTGCGGTGCATCAGTCCCTGCAGAGCGTCTCTGACTAAGGCCTTGCCTACACTACAAAGTTTTGTCGGCAACAGTTATGCCGCTTTAATTAAAGCTGCTGTTGCCTGTCCACACTAGCTCCTTGTGTCGGCAGAGTGTATCGACACAGAGAGCAGTGCACTGTGGGTAGCGATCCCACTGTGCAACTGGCTGCGGGTGCGTTGGGAAGGGTTTGCAATGTCTCGTGGGGCTGGGAGAGCATCACATGATGCAGGTTTCTCAACCCCATAGTTCCAGGGGCATCCTACTAGATTGTCAGTTGCTTTTTCAACTGAAGTGGGGTGGGGGGAGGTAGAGGAGAGGAGAGTGGTGTGTCTGGGGCAGGGGAGACAGCAGGCTGACCAACGTATCCTGAGGTGGGGGACGGGGACACCACCACCCCAAGTCAGCCCCCTCTGCTCAGCACAGCAGTCTCTCCCGAAGCAGCCCAGTCTGCCTGCCTGCCTATGGTTCTATGCACAGCTACAGACTAGGGACCGAATGGCTAGGCAGCAGTTCTGCGGAAAAGGACCTAGGGGTGACAGTGGACGAGAAGCTGGATATGAGTCAGCAGTGTGCCCTTGTTGCCAAGAAGGCCAATGGCATTTTGGGATGTATAAGTAGGGGCATAGCGAGCAGATCGAGGGACGTGATCGTGATTTGACATTGGTGAGGCCTCATCTGGAGTACTGTGTCCAGTTTTGGGCCCCACACTACAAGAAGGATGTGGATAAATTGGAAAGAGTCCAGCGAAGGGCAACAAAAATGATTAGGGGTCTGGAACACATGATTTATGAGGAGAGGCTGAGGGAACTGGGATTGTTTAGTCTGCGGAAGAGAAGAATGAGGGGGGATTTGATAGCTGCTTTCAACTACCTGAGAGGTGGTTCCAGAGAGGATGGTTCTAGACTATTCTCAGTGGTGGAAGAGGACAGAACAAGGAGTAATGGTCTCAAGTTGCAGTGGGGGAGGTTTAGGTTGGATATTAGGAAAAACTTTTTCACTAGGAGGGTGGTGAAACACTGGAATGCGTTGCCTAGGGAGGTGGTGGAATCTCCTTCCTTAGAAGTTTTTAAGGTCAGGCTTGACAAAGCCCTGGCTGGGATGATTTAATTGGGGATGGGTCCTGCTTTTGAGCAGGGAGTTGGACTAGATGACCTCCTGAGGTCCCTTCCAACCCTGATATTCTATGATTCCCTCTGAGCTCTCCCGCAGCCTCCTCGGCTGCAGCATCCTGAGCAGCTCTGTGAGCTCTCCCTGTGCTGAGGAATGTCAAAGCAGCACAGCAGCCCCCTCTCCCCCACCGCAGCCAGTGGCTGTGTAGGGCAGAACAGGAGCATCCCATGCTAATGATTTGCTCTTTGTTCACCAAAAAGGAGCAGCATCCCCAAGCTTTGAAAGGGGAGGGGCGCATGCCTGCAGGGCAGCAGAGATCAAAACAGTGAGCAGAGCAGTCATGGCAGGCATTGTGGGATACTGGTGAAAGCCAGTTATGTCGACAAAACTAACAGCAGTGTCTACACTGACGCTTTAACTTTGCCACAAAAAGCTCTATGTCTCTCATTGAGGTGGTTTTGTTTTGCCACCAAAAGTAGCTTTATAGTGTGTACACCTCCCGTTTTGTTGGCAAAAGGCAGCTTTTGACGACAAAACTTTGTAGTGTAGACAAGGTCTAAGAGCCTATCTCATCTGGCCTCACTGGACAGAGCTCACAGCGAGAAATAGGAGCGATGGAGCTCAAAGGAGCTCAGTCTCAGAGGTGGGGAGGTCATGTGGCCCATCCTTAAGGAAGAATAGGGCCCCTGGTGGGTCTGGCACACTACAGGGGTTCCTCCAAGAGACTGTTTAAAAGCTGGGGCTGTGGATCCGTGACAGGGAGAACCAGCCCATCATACATTGAAACATGCCAAGACTCTGTCATTTGTCACATTTCTTTTGATTAAAGAAAGTAATGGGGAGCAAGCCATTAAATCACGTCCATGTGTGCCCCAGACTTCGTTACTGTTTTCAGATAGTTTTAGATACACACTTAGGACACACATTTGATACAGGGCATATGACTGTATAAGTACAAACAAGGTACATGCACATGCCCCCTCTTTATTATGTTAGGTTAAGATGAACGTTTACAGAGAACAGAATGATTGAGAGTTGAAAATGGAAGCCAGGACACTATATTTCATCTGGGAACTCCAACAGGTTACTTTCTGGGTCCTGGCCTGCAAAGTGCAGCTTTTCATTAAAGTCGTTTGGATTCCTGTCCATTCTGCTACTTAGCAAATAATTAACAATGGTCAGTTTTCATTGTGTTTTGTTAAAATCCAGAAATTGAATCCCCTGTTGAAAAACCATCAGATGCTTAATAAGACAACCTGCTGTGCGAGATGTCGTCATTCAGGGCCCAGGGGTGCGCCACGACATTTCATTGCTTAGTAACACAGCCTCGTGCCTAGTTCTGTATGGTTCAGCAATAGGAGCAGTTTGCGGAGGTTAA